TATGACGGCCTGCTGTTAACTGAATAATCTAACTTAGTTAATATTTATTAATATTAAATATCAATTAATCAGATTGAAATAAAATAGATCAAATAACTTAACGTAAGTTACTCTTAAACTCTAAAGCCTTAAGTCCTTAAGCTTAGTAAGCTAATCTGAATAGAAATAAAAACCTAAGTGAAATTACACGAAGTTAATCCAATGGAAATCAAGTACAGTTAAATCCGTTTGAAAAAGTACGAGTGTAGAAAACTCGAGTCACTTGTGCACAGCACAGATCCCGTGTGTCAGTAATGACGTGTGTGTGTGTAGCGCTGGTGCGAGAAGGGGGGATAATCAAGAACAATTCGCTTTAAAAATAAACCACCCGCTAGACGCGTCGAGAATTTGTCGCGGTCCCCTGTCAACTATTGGCAAAACTTTTTTTTTCGCTGCTAAACTTAGTCCTTCCGAGTGGCCTCCCTTTCCGGTTTCGAGACAACTGTCGAGCTTTGGTTGTCGTTCTTAGTTCTGCCGCGCCGTTGCATTTCCCCCCTCTCTTTCACCCCCACCCCTCCAAATTCTGTTAGGTGCATCAAGACTTTAATGGCGTGTTCAAAATGTCACTTTTTTTAAATATTAGAATACTGCACCATTTAACTCGACAATTGTAAACAGTTAACAAATGTTTAAGCATGTTTACTATATTTAGTTCAGAAAAGAAACCTAAAAAAAAATACAATAAATAGTGGGGGAAGGTGGGGGAGGAGCCTGTTCTTAGCTATTACAAGTTTTCCCAATTAAAGAATCGTTTTAAACAAGGATAGTTCTAAAGCGTGCGTTTATGTTTCTTATAACATGGATTAAGTAGCCAATGTAGCTGGGGAAAGTAGAGAAACTTCTAGAACTGTAAAACAGCCTCTTCTATCGTCACAAATTGTCACAGTGTGACGTCATGCTTTCTCCCCCCCCCCTTCCGTCATTACACATCATCAAAGAAGTCCCATCTCTATCTCTAGGTGAAGCATGACGTCATTTATGAACCGGACGAATACAGATACTATTGAGTCTGGATGGTTACATATTCAATTAAAGTAGGATGAATACATAGAGTTAATATAGGGACGAATACATAAACTTAATATAGGGCCTACACTGAACGCCGATGTAACACAACATATCCATGTAGTATGATAACCCCCCCCCCCCCAACCCCAAAAAAAATTCATGGTATTGAGCAGGTATACAAACACTTTTATACGATAAAGGGGGGGGGGAGGAATGGGTAGACAGAAAGGCATGTAATATTACAATCAGCTATGTAAAAGCTGTTCCACATCAAACTCTGCGTGTAAGAGGATTGTATTACATGTGGTAACACCACACCCCCACACCGTGGTGTGATGTATAACTTCAAAAGCTACGGGAAGTTCAAACGAATTCCTGTGACCTTTATTTCAAGGTGAAAATGTTAGAAGGACAGGACCGGTACTTTTTTGATAATCAGAAGTGTCTTATCGGGTTGTAATATTGTTGTTGCTTTTTTTTTTTTTAGTTACGTTTAACCTAACCCTAATCCTAACCAAGACATGTCGACAGAAGGACATGTATACGATACCCGATTATTTAGCTAGTGGTAATAAAAATAAAATGACCATTCCGGGGGGGGGGGGGGGGGGGGGCTTTATATTATATGCCAGAAGTCATTATTGCGTGTTTTTTTTAATTCCCAAGGCAAAAAACAATTTTTAAAAAGTAAAAATGTTATTTATTTTTTAATTGTTTTACAAATAAAGTCGATTATATTATGGCTGATTGGCTTCTCACTAATAAATCAACACACTCGGACGAAACAACAGTAATGTGAACGCGGCGTCTGTCTCGGCAGATGGCACACACGCATCTTGACACGAGCAATCAAGCGTTCACCAAGGGACGTCATCCCCAATACATCTCACACTAACTGTTGCCGTTCAGCCCGTTTAAAAATATCGAAACTAAAAATAGTTTTTTTTTCTACAACAACAAAGGCAACAACCTGCGGCTCTGGGAATCATACTACTTGTTGAATCCGAAATTGTGGCTATTTTTAGCTGGTGTAAAAATGTCAGTGGGAAAATTTTCGAATAAAGTAGTTAGAGTTATTGTGTTAATATGGCTCTTTAGTTTTAAATTGGAAACCTACCCCTGCCCAGTGTTTCTTCCAGACATTTTTCTCACGGGGGGGGGGGGGGGGGGGGAGATGCCTGGAAGAAACTCTGCCCCTGCCTATAAGCATTCTCCCCACCCCCGGAAATTGTAAGTGTGTCCGTTCCGGTAAGGTTTTAATGCCCCCCCCCCCCCCCACTATTGTTTTGTAGTTATAAATTAATTGATCTGGAATGTTTCAAAGAAATCGCTACACTAAAATTTGCTAAAAATCATTTACAAAAATTGAACACAAACTGCAAACATAACCACACATGAATCCACTACAAAACAATCTTTATGAAAAAAAAAAGAAGAAAAAACTGTTAGTAATGAGTGTGCGTAAGGATTTTCTTTATAAGGGAAGTAACTGCGTAAAAACAAAATAACACAATTGAATTGTTGTTGCTTCCCTTTAAGCAACATCTGAATGGGCCTACATTTTTCTTATTTTTTTAGCGCAATTTCCATATTGGACAATTGCGATTATTAACTCGTCATTTCTGGATGGATGAATGGATGGATGTGTGTCCGCAGCTTTAAGTCGTATCTCCTCCTCAACGAAGCAATATCGAGGACTAGTTCCAAAAGCAAATATGTTAAGCAAGCTCCAAGGATGATTGTGGGCCAAAAAAATTCCCGGAATTCCTTCCTGGATTTCCCGGAAAAGCCAAAAACCATCGAACAAATGCAGTTTTTGGTCCATATCTCGGCAACCAGACCACTTAGCGACTTGAAACATTTACCAATCGATTCCTGCCATAATTTAGACCAATGTTGCCGAAGAAAGTTTTCAAAAATATCCTTTCGTTCGGTCACAAAAAATTAATTAAGACCATTTAAACTGAGCATCGTGTAGGCCTAGGATGGTTTAAACTGAGCATCGTGTAGGAGTTTATATTTATAGGATGATATTTACAAAAAATTAAAAATTTAAAATTGTTATGGATAACATAAGGAAATTGCGCTTAAATTGTCACTAGACTTTTTATTAACTTGTTTTTTTATTTAATTTTTTTTTCTGCTAATAAAAATATTTGTGCTGATTTTTATTTTAAATAAAAAATATTTCAGGAACGTCCCCCCCCCCCCCCCTCCTGCACAATACGACACAATATAACAAAATGATAACACATCCCCTAACCCTCTTTTTTTGTATAAGCCCAATCTATAATGCTGCTTTGTGAATACATTCATGTGCGAGTTAACAATGTAGTGCCTAGCCTATGGATGATATTTTAAATATTTGTTGCTGTTAGTTACCACCGTAGTAGGCGACCTGACGAAATAATGAACAGAACTTTCCCTCGGTTTTTTATATATATTTTTTTAAAGCGGAATCAATCGTTAACTTATTTGTCAGAATTCATTTCTTTGTCTATTTTTAACCACGACATCAACCTATTTTAATTTTACTGTCGTAAGCGGACGTTCGCACGGACTGTTATTTTAGTGAGTGTCGGTATTAGTGTATGGGTATTAAGTGTTGAGAGCTGGCTTGAGCGTGCTTTATGTTAGAAAAAAAAGGAAACGGAGCTTGTGAGTTAAACATTAAAACACTGACTAGTGACTATTCCAGTTTTAAAATCTGGGGGGGGGGGGGGTGTGTTTAGGGTTGGGGGGGGGGGGGGCTAAAAATCACGGACTGCTGCCTTGTCAACTCCCCTCCCCCTTAGTTTCGCCACTGCCTGACACTGTCCGAGTTGTGATACTGTCACACATCGTTAACATCACTGCCAATAACCCAATATATTATGTGGTGTTAGATTTCATTGTCAGCTGTTTCCATTACACAACTCGTGTATGTAATGTTTAACCATTATATATTTTTGTATTACTTAATTAACCTCCACCGTAGTATTATCCAACTCACCAACCCAGAGGCGTAGCGACCCCTCTCGGCGCCGGGAAAAACTTTCAATCCCCCCCCCCCCCCCCCGCCATATATTTCTTATGTTTATAATTCAAAACTGCAGCTAAAATGAGCTTTTTTTTCCAAACCCATTTAGGTGCCTCTAGGGTCGGCCCCCGGGGACATATGTACCCCCCCCCCCCCCCCCCGCTACACCTCTGCCCGCACCCCCAGAGAATGATGGGAAAGCCATGGTCATCAAGCTTTATCCCCAACACAGGCCTTGTGACCTAGCAAAGTCCACACGCGACCACAGGGTGCTGTTAAAGAGCCGAGTTACGATGCCTGTGATTTGGTCTATGTCGCCCTGTGTTCGACTGGCTTATTAAACTGTTATTTTGCGAGGTAAATTTGTTCACACTATTAACAACTGACGTATGCAAAGCATATTCCGATTCACATTTTTAAAGTGTTCTTAAATATTTCCTCGAAATGATTACCCTTTATGTAATACTAAAATACCACATTTTAGAATTGTTTCGTCTACCAATAAATTTACTGAAAAAGTTTCAATACGAGCAATCAAACAATCAACCGATACATATCAGTATATCGTGCAGTGCAGCTCTACTTCACCTGCCTAAAACAAAATGCCTGAGCGTCTCAGTGATTTATGCACATGTTAGTACTTATGGTTGTCGTGGACAGTGTCCAAATGTTAGATCATGCTGATGGATCAAACGTATTAGATAGCCACACATAAATTAAGGCAATATGGGAAAAGCAGGTTTACCGCCCCCTCCCCCGAACGAAATTGAATTTATATTCAAAATTTATACCCATGCCTCCCCCTCCTCAACCACAGAGAAAAATGTCTGAAGGACATCAAAATTTGATTACCATCAGTTTGTTCAGAGGTGTAAGTAGCTGTATATAAAATTTAATGGATTTTTTTTTTATTTAAAGAACAACATGGCAACAATTTTACATGTTTTATCATTTATTACTTCATGAAATAGATTTATGTAGAAACCAATAATTACTATAAATAACAGGCATGATAGAAAAAGAGTTTTGTAGAAAGCAATAATTAAATTACAACAAAGAAATTATTAATCGCTAAATTTTTTAAAGAAACCTTTTGGACGATGTTTAGTTCGACAAAGGGAAATAACAAACAAAAGCTGTAAATTCAAGTATAGTTGTTGCTCTTAGCTAGCATAAACAGCATGTTTTCTCTTTCATGATTAAATTTATAAAACTAAAATCCAAACAAACAAGAAATTTTCTCATATTTTGTTTTCTTAATGAACAATAGAAAAAAAATTATTATACACTTTTTCTTTCATTTCACACTTCTATAGGTGCAACAATTTCAATTTTCAAGGCAACAATAGATTTAGGAAATTCGTTTCTTTACTTTCCACTTAATGAAATGAACAAAAGGAATAAATATATTCATGTACAGAAATGGCACTTGGAAAAGATTCTTGTTGATGGAGAGAAGTAAAGACAAAGACGATGTTGTATGTACACAACATTATAGGGTTGTTGGCAGTTATTATTAATTTTGTTGTTAAAGTAGCGTCAATAATAAGATAACAAAGGGCTATGGGAAACTGTATTGATATCTGTTTCAGTTGATTTGTGTACATAATCAAGTTATTTTTACTGGTTAAAAAAAACATTCACTTAACCTTAACAAAGGTGGAATTTATTATAATCATTCAAGGTCAAGGTATTTTCTGGCTTTATGGAATGCATGACTAAACATGATTAGCAATTCTTCATGCAACTAATTTTATGGAATGACAAAACTAATAACTAATTAATTAGTAATTCAACCAACTGTTGTATTACTTGGAGGGCATTTGAAGAATAACTTCGCTTTACATTATATACATAACAATATTAGATATATTATAGTACTTAGTCATACGACAATTGTTATAAAAATACAAATCTAAGATCATGCTTTATGTGTCAGTGTAGTGACACAGGTCCACGTGGCAGTGAATTGGCAAGTCAGTATTGTGCATATTGTTATTATGCATGTAAAAACATAACAAGAACATTGTATATCTCTATATACAGTACAAGACACAGTGGAGTATTACTTTGAGTATCTGAGATTGTCCTAAATAAATAATTGTTTTACTGATATAAGCAACTATAATCTAAGTTTTCTATTTTCCAAAAAAAAAAAACACACAGTATTAAAAAGGTGGGCCCACCCATACATTATTAGGCCATTGTTTAGAAATTAACTTGTTCAAATTAGCTAATTATTGCACTTAAAATTTATTTAAACATATTTTAGATGGCAGTTGAAAAAAAAAATCTTGATTCAAAAGGTACAAAAAAAAGTTACTACTTCTAAATTTGAGTATGGTATAAAAGTAAATTTTAAGTACTTGAATATTTAAATAAACAATGCTTGACTGTGTAAGACTATTTCGAAACATTTGTAAGATTAAAGGGTGGTAACCCTCACAGCATCTTCGTCCTCGTCCGCATCATCTATAGTGGTAAGCTTTCCTCTGGTTAACACTCTAGCCTCCCCTTTCTCCCCCAGAATCATTCCCATGACATCAGGCAGTGACCTAGCTGACTTCACAATCATGTTATCTGACTGCAAAACACTTCTCAAAGTCCGGAAGTCTCTGTTGTTATCTGCATAGATACTGGTGGCCAGATAAGCGCTGTCACTGTAAGCCAAGTTATCCCCTTCCAAAAATCCCTTGCCAATTAGTGCCATTCTGGCCATCTTGGCATCATCACACAACGGCGCTGCCATGATTTGTTCTGATACCCCATTCACTGAACCATCTTTTTGCCAAGGGTTTTCTAAATGGTCGTAATACCCTTTCAACGAGTCAATGTCTAAATTTTCTCCATTTAATTTTTGTTTTAAATTGTGGAACTTGAGATTTTCTTCTGTGATTTCAAACTTTTTCAGGCCATCGGCCATGTTGTAAATATCTCTGTCTGACTCAGTGTCGCTGACTTTAAGACACTGACTGTAGTCGCTGAGCACCCAGTTGTTGTTGTTGGTGGTGCTAACAAATGTGCTGAGGAAGTTTGGCTCGGTGCTGTCACAATTTGTCTTCCGTTCAACTCCGTCACAGTGGTCGTCAGAGTTGTTGGAATAACACAGGCTATTTTTAGACCCTTTCTCAAAATAATCCTCTTTTGTATTAGACACAGTCATGTCTGATTGGTTAGACTGAATGCTCCCTCTTGAACTCTGGGAATCCTGGCCAGATTTTTTCAGATTTTCAGTTGAAACGGAGGAAGTGTTACTGTCGGAGATACCGGACTCGACACTACTTCTAGAGTCCCTGTGTCTGTTTCTGGCAGACTTTTTGGGAACTGTCTGGTTCTCCGTGGAACCGTTCCTGAGACTGTTCCGGGATTCTTTGAGTCTGTTCAAGGAATTAGTTCCGGTTCCTGGCAACAGAATGGGTTGAGATATTTTCCTGTTTTTGAGGGAGGTTCTGTGTATGCTACCCCTGGTCAGGGTATGGGTCATTTCATCATTTGTTGTTGATGACTGTCTGGAAGAGGATGTTTTCAAAACAATATCCGAGTGGTTTAAAATGTTGGTGATGCCACCATCAAGATGGATGTTGAAGCTGTGCCGACGTCGCACATTTTTATTTCCCACCTCCTCCACCGCACACACAGGCGTCACCTCAATCGTTCGTTGATTCGCCAACGTCTCGAACATATTCGTTACAACAATATCCGACGGAACACTCGGTTTCCCAATCCCGTAAACATTTTCAGCTCGTACGCGGAAAACGTATTCTGTGTTGCTAGCCAGGTGACGTATGTCGTAGCTGGTACCCTGGCACGCCTTGGTCACTGTCTTCCACTGCCTGTCCCCACACGGGCTCATGTTGGCGATCTCTATGGTGTAGGCCAAGATGTTTCCGCTGTCGGACCGAGGTGGCGCCCATGTTAAGGATATTGTGTCGTGGGTCACTTCAGTAAACACAGGTTTCCCCGGCTGACTAGGTTTGGCTAAAACAAAAGAAAAAATTACAATCTATTATTGCAAGCTGATAATAGATACTTTTTTAAACACTTCATTATATATTAAGACCAACTGTGATTTTGCTATATTTAACTATATTTACTAAGGACAAATATTTTTTTTTAAATATGTAAAATTTGTTCACATTGTTGGTTCATGTACATTGTTCTATTTTTTTGTAAAAGCTTAATGATCACAATAGGATAACATTAGTATACACGTTTACTGGTCAAATGGAGTATATAGAGCCAGATGTGTGAAAACCTTGACCCTTAACTAACCCACCTTACCTCTTAAGCAGTACCCTAAATAATATATTATTATGGGACACCCCCCCCCCTCCACTACTCCTCATAGAAACACAAAATGTATGTATTCTAACTAGAATATAGCTTAGAAAATAAGTTATTTAAATTAATAGCAATTTAGTTTTTAAGATTTAAAAAATATTAATAAAAAAATAAATCACCTTTTATTTTCCTTTCAGTTCTTGGATATAACCCATCAACTGAGTGATGTCCCCTGAAACTTGCTGTCTGATATGGGTTGTCTCCCAAAGTCCTGCAACTCTCGTGTCCCAACTCTCCGTTTGACTGGTTAGCTCCCATTTCCAAACAAAAATCAGTAGCTTCTCTTTTAAAAAAAATCCTCAAACACAAAAGTGTTTATTTACATGTTAACAGAATCCTCTCAGCAATCACTGTTTCGACCAATCGCGTTCCTCGTTACATCGGCAACCTTGTGCATCCCTCGACACAAAATCTTTGTTGGGAAATAAAAATCTATCCACACACACACACAATTTTTTGTACTCCTTTTTATATAATCGTCTGTTGTTTTTTTTAAATTTTAAATGTCCTCTTCTCCTGAATTAGACAGTTATTCGTGCACGTTCATCAACTAGAAATAGATTGTTTTCGATCTCGAATTTTTGTAAGTAATGAACACGAGTTATTTCCCTTCTTCACAGCGTGAAGCAAATTTTTGAGTGTCAAGTTGTTACTGATAGGTGGTTGAGTATCTGTACTAACTAAATCTCTTAGTCTACATGTGTTAGTAAGTCTGCATGCGGGTGAACAAATCTAAATGGGACTAGGTCTACTTGCAAGCACTGAAAAAGGAGGGAAAACAAAAAAAAATCGATTAAAACAATGAAATAATAAATTAAATTTCAATATCGTCATCTATAAATTTAAAACATTCTAAAAATAAATTTTATAAGGTCATTAGAACATTGTTATTCTGATGTGTCGATATTTAAAACACACAAAAAAACTCGTTAAAACAATCATTTTAAACATTTTTATAATAGCCAATCACGTTCAGACAGGCGTCTTTTAGCTGTCAATCTTTTAAAGACATGCGCAGACACTCACTGGCATTTGATCACGTCAGATGACGTCATTCGCACAACAAAGGGCGGATAATTCCATCTCAGATCGGGTTTCTCTCGAAATGAATTCTTTCATATTAACTTTTAATGAAATGTTTACGCTAAAAAAATAACATTTTATATGTTCTTTTAAAAAGAAAACTGCTGAAGTTTTACTTTCCTATTTTCAGATAGGCTTGCCAAAGATGGATGTCATCCCCCCTCCCCACACACACACTACCCTCACCAGATAATGACAAGTGGTTAAAACGATGCCACACCATGACGCCCCACTTTTCCTTTGTTGACATTTGGCTCTAAAGGCCAAAGGTCATGTTTGGCTGACCCAGCGTGAGCTTAACGTATGACCACGTGACCCAGTGTCTACACACAGGTCAGCTATAAACAATCAACTGACCTTGCTTTGTGACCTGTCAAAGTTGCCTAGCCATAGGCTGGGGTAGATATGAACACAAGTACAGTGTGTTTATGAACACGTCGTTTATACAAAATACGAATACTAATCATGTGTAAATATGAACACACATAATGATAATATAAACACGTAGGCCTATATAGCGGGTGAACCTATGATTTTATACACTGTGTGTTCAAACATTTTATGTGAAAATATGAAAACACATTTCCGTGTAAGTATAACACAAATTTCCGTGTAAATATAAGACCAAAACAGCCTTGAGTACAACACTATTTAGTGACATTACTAAAATTGTGTTAAATATCACGCAACTACAGCCAAATAGTATAAGACATATTTAGGGAAAGTAAAACACAAAGATACTACACAATGCAGTTTAAACTTTCTATTTTTACCCTTCCCATTATTAAGCAGGAAGATTATTGCTGAGAACAAATGAGTGTCACATTTTTTTAAGGAAACAGCCATATCCGGTGACAAAAGTCAGATATCGAATCATCGAATCATCCAAGTTTTCAATGGTAGACGAAACAGGCTATAGTGTTAGCCTTGCTTGCCGAATTCGCTTTCGATCCAGCTCAAGATATATTTTCTTTTCTAATCTGCACGAATTTTTGTTTAGCTCTTAAACCACGACGGTTCAAAACTTGATGTATAAGGGGAGGGGGATTGTAGGTAATCCAGACTAGAAGTTCAGAGCTAAGTGCGAAGAAAGAGCGCGGACTACTATAAAAGTGATCCTTTCTCTCCAACCTCTCACACCTTTTTAATATGGATCTACTGTGTCACATACATAGGGGCAATGGAAATAGAATTTAGAATCCCTGATCTAGACACGTCTCCGTTGTATATCCCCCCCCCACCCTCTGCACTTTTTGTGCGTATTCTAATTCCCCCGATAATGAAATCCAGGAGAAAAAAAAAATCGGTACGTTTTAAAACAATAGCTGGTAAGACAAGTCTTCTTGTGGTGCATTGTGTGGGTCTGTGGTGCATGTGTATGTATCTACGGTGTGTTTGTGTATGAATGTGTCTGTGGGTGTCCGTGTCGGGTCATCGTCGGGGTGCATTGTGTGTGTCTATAGGGTGTGTATATATGGTGTGTCTGAATATTTGTCTGTTGTGGGTGTCTGTGTCTCTACATATGTGTATGTGTGTGTTTAGGCCTACGTATTTATGTGTGTGTGTCTGGGCGTATGTCCCTGTGTATGTGTGTCTATGTCATATGCGTGTGCCTATGTCTTATGCGTGTGGCTGCGTCTCTTCTGTATGTGTCTCCGTGGATGTGTCTGATCGAATGTGCCCGTGTTTACGTTTTGTGTCTTTGATGTGTCGACACCAGAATCAATGCACAGCGCAACTTTTCTGTCGCACGATCAAAACAGTGCAGTCTAGACGAAGGAATACTAAACAAGCTGAACAAATGCATTTAAATTTAATGGCCCGGAACTTGGTGAAGAACTTTCTCAACAAGAAGTTATGTATAGATAGATATATACCACTTTACAGCTGTTATAAATAGTCTATACACCGATGTTTGTGTCGGTGGGTTAGCCAGTTAGAGCAGTTAAACTAACCTGAGAATTCGTATGGCGATAACCTTAAAGCAAATTTAAACCCAAATCTATTCTGATTATAAAGTGATTCACTTGCGCAGTAATTTAGGTCCGAGTAGCATGAATTGAAAGATTTTTTTTTCAGCTTTCGCTTCTTAGTTTCACATTTTTTAAAAGGATGAGTTGCGGTTTTCCTGACGGTTTCGGTGTTGTGTTAATTTATGTTATGGCAATAGCGAAGCTATAGACTGGGATAGAGATACCGATGTAACATGATATGACAACGGTGTAATAAGTTCTCACGTAGCCTGATATACAAGATTATAATAAGAGCAGCTGGAGATTTATCATCGTCCTAAAGCCATGATACATTTAAACCGTTTGTCCGTTGAACCATTAGAGTCATGTCATAATTGTTACTGTTGTGTTACTGTTGAGTTACTTGTCGCTGAGTCATCTCTACACTGTTACTGTTGTGTTACTTGTCGCGCTATGACTTACACAGGTTTATCATAATTATAGGATTCGCGTGTCGGTGTCAGAAGGTAATCTACCTGACCCTAACCAGGTATTCTTTCAGGCACCTCCCCCACCCAATAAGAAAAACGGCCACTCCTCCCACCCCTCCCCCTCCCCCCCCTCCTCGGCCGAAACAGAAAAATACTAAATTTAAATAAAACAAATACACCACTGCTCTTCCCCCCCCCCCCCCCACCTGAAATTTTAAACCCAATCTTCCCCCGGGGTAAAATTAAATGACTGAAAGAAACCCGTTCGGTGTATTATAGTGAATAGTCACCTTTTTCAAATATTTAATAAGAAAATAAACTAGACTTGAGAAACTGCCAATCAATATCAGTAAGAATCTAAGATAGTTGAGATAGTTAAACGTCTGGAGCCACACAGAGGTGAAGGTCACTCGATCTAGCCGACTCCAGCAAACCACGGCGTCAACGAAATGTCAGACGACATTGATTTCTTAGGTATGTCAAGACAAAGGGGGGGGGTGACACATAGCCGTCTGGAAATTAAGCAGACGTCAATACAGCCTACATCACAAAACAAAAATTGTGCTGACAGGCAGGTCGTTTGTTGTCAGGCGATGAAATATCGTCTGCTACTGATGCAACTGTTATACAATGATGTTAGCAGTGGTTTGATATTGAGTGAGATTCAGAGTTTCTTCCAGGCATATGCCCCCCCCCCCCCCCCCGTCGAACGAGATGGAATTTATATAGTAAACATACACTTTTACTAGTGTCAGCCCCCCCCCCCCCCCCCGAAAATATCAAGTGCCCCCGGAGAAAAAAGTCTGGAAGAAACACTGGTGAGATTTACAATCGAACTGCAATTTTTGCCTTGGGAATATTATTTTTTAAAACTGTAAAACGGGCACTTTCCAGTAAAGCATATATTATACGTTATATTTTTAACTACTTTAAGAAATACATTAACCCGCACAATGTTGACTCATGTATGATTTTTACACGTCTATTTCAAATGAATTATAGTTATTTATTATTTAAATATGATTAATGAGCATGCAATTTTTTTCACTTCATGTTAATAGTAATTACTAATTAGTTCGTAATTAGATATTTAGATTTTTGGCTTTGTACCTGTAAGCTATAGCACTATAGTAACTATACACTACACTGAACAGAATAACGTAATTAAGAATTAATTAATGGTGATTATGAAAGTGCTACATTAGACCATTAAGAATAGACAATAAAAGTTTTAATTAAAAAATATATTAATAAATTAAATAACTAAACTCACATTATATTTTAATAAAGTCCGTTATATAAAAATCGTTTGAATGGATCATCCATAATCCTACACATGTTTACAAATACAACGCTACTTCCAACAGAACTAGCGCTTCGAAATGCAACCTAGTTTTATAATAATCCGCAAATGACGTGATGACCTTAATTTTTAACGCCGCTTTCCATTGGCTGAGCCTGGTCTAAAAATAAAACCTTACTCTCCAACCGGGGAAACAAAAGCGAATTCACCCAGCGCTTAATTTAAATACGCTTCTGTCAACAGAAATGGAGTGTTCCTACTGTTTGGGTTTCTCCCTCAGTGACTTCCCTTTGCTTGAGGAAACTTGAACGAATAGAAAATCCGTGTTTTTTCACATAGGGAATACCACAAAAAACTATTTTTGTGCGTGTACCAATCCCCGTACCTACCCGCAAATAAATGTGTCATTGATCATCCTTCACCACTTTACCACGGGAAAATAACAAGCCCATGTCACACCATCAAAGAAATGACGTGACACTAAAATCGGGGACTGGATTAATTAAAGTAAATGGATAATATTTTAATATATTCAATGTGGATGTGTGTTGTTGATTTTATTATTATTTTAATTTAATCTAAAGTAGTCTTAGTCAACGCGTTTCTACGAATAACTTTTTTTAAAACTGCACTTAACGTTATTTTGTGAATTAAATAACGATTTTTTAAAGTAGGGGAAATCAAGAGATATTAGAACTTTTAACCCCCCCCCCTATACACACACACAATAAAAAGGGAAGAAAAAAGCACCACGTAAGTTAGGCGAACATTTCAAAACCTTGAACAGTTAACCACAAAAGGGATGTACTGATAAAAGGAATGTAAAGGTTATCAGGGGAAGTGGCCCTAGGTTTTTGCGAAAACTTTTGTAATTTTAGATAAGAGAACTTAACTTTAAATTGATGATGATAAAAATAGACAACATATTTCCGTTTAAAAAATTAACCGGGTAAATTTCGTTTATTTTGTATTAGATGACATGTAATGCCCAGTTGTATGTCTACATCAAGAGCATGGAAGGGTGCACGATTAATGGGGGGGGGGGGTGTACAGTGTGGGACAACTAAGCTAAGTGTGTAGGGGTCAGTGTGGGATAGTAAGGCTTAGTGTGTAGGGGTCAGTGTGGGACAGTATGGGACAGTAAGGCTAAGTGTGTAGGGGTCAGTGTGGGACAACTAGGCTAAGTGTGTAGGGGTCAGTGTGGGACAGTTAGGCTAAGTGTGTAGGGGTCAGTGTGGGACAGTTAGGCTAAGTGTGTAGGGGTCAGTGTGGGACAGTAAAGCTAAGTGTGTAGGGGTCAGTGTGGGACAGTAAGGCTAAGTGTGTAGGGGTCAGTGTGGGACAACTAGGCTAAGTGTGTAGGGGTCAGTGTGGGACAGTTAGGCTAAGTGTGTAGGGGTCAGTGTGGGACAGTTAGGCTAAGTGTGTAGGGGTCAGTGTGGGACAGTAAAGCTAAGTGTGTAGGGGTCAGTGTGGGACAACTAGGCTAAGTGTGTAGGGGTCAGTGTGGGATAGTAAGGCTAAGTGTGTAGGGGTCAGTGTGGGACAACTAGGCTAAGTGTGTAGGGGTCAGTGTGGGACAACTAGGCTAAGTGTGTAGGGGTCAGTGGGTGACAGTAAGGCTAAATGTGTAGGGGTCAGTGTGGGACAGTAAGGCTAAGTGTGTAGGGGTCAGTGTGGGACAGTAAGGCTAAGCGTGTAGGGGTCAGTGTGGGACAGTAAGGCTTAGTGTGTAAGGGTCAGTGTGGGACAACTAGGCTAAGTGTGTAGGGGTCAGTGTGGGACAACAAAGCTAAGTGTATAGCCAAGCCTGTATACAAGCAAGTACACCAATACAAGATATGCGCATATAAATCACATGGTCAGTGGTCAAGTGTGGACAGTGAGTGTGGTAGGACGGTCTGACAGGATGGGGGGAAGGAGTGGACTGTTTGATGTTTGTCAAGGGTGAGAATCTAGATCTTTCTGTTGTAGGGGTGGCCCCGTGTGATCTGGGCAAGGATCGGAAAAGATGAATTTTGTAAACAGGATTTGGTACTTGATGTATCACGAGGCTTGGACAGGGAGGTAATTGTCCATTTGAAAACAGTACAGGCGTTGGGGTGATGGTTGTAAGCTGTGGTGGTCAGTGGGAAATTGTGGGAAGATCGGTTGGCCACTGACCTAGTTCACACGGACAGGTTTGTCAGATCTGTGTGACGGGGGAGGGGGGGGGGGCGGCACTGTCAGTCTCATTCAGGTCGGGTACGACCGACACTGAACGACACGGGTGTGTTGTGTTGGATGTGCTGAGTTGATAGTGGGTGTGGGGGAGGGAAATAGTGTGGGAGTGAGAGAGTGTGGGGTTAAAATGTGTGCGGGATGCTCTATAGAGGAGTTTGTCGTACCGCTGGTAATAGCCGCTAATGAGCAAATAGATTTAACTAGGGATATAATCAAATATGTTGTGTTTTTTTTTACTTTAGTTAAACATGCACTTTAGCTTTGCTAAATACTAAAATTGAATGATGAGTAGCCAATCTAAATACTGTATGCCTATTTATAATTAGGCTATGCTAGACTAAAGACTATCCCACACACCCATTCACGAACCCGTATTTGCTTTGTAAAACAAGCTAGTAGATAGGACCTAGTTAATTATTTAAATAAAACATGTAGGCCTACAAAGTGAGAAATAAGGCCTATATTGTATCACCCAAGTTTAAAGTGTCTAAGATGGTTGCTAGATCAGTTTAAGGTAAGTTGTTACCATAAACATAATGTTTAAAAAAAATCGACACAGCAACAGTGTGTGATTTTAACATTTTACGACATACGACTTTTTAAAACTAACACAGCGAGCCGGTAGTATACGTCTAGGCTATTTGCTGACATATCGCTTATCTAAAACGAAAACAATGCTTTGAATTATACAACATAACTACTGTTTTCCGGTAGGTTATTAGGCCTATCTAACACAAGCAGCAGCCTACATAAAAATATTAACGGCAGGTCTTTTCATTAGCCTAAACATCCCAGTTAACAAAGCTTTGGTTGTTTTAATGAAAAATAAATTAACATAGGCCTAGGCCCTAAATGTATTATAAATTATAAGGATTTCGAATGCTTTGTATTATTAGTATCCAAGTCAACACTAATAACTATACAAGTTCTAAGCTCACCTTATATTTATAAAACCAGTGTGTGTTGTGTACCCATTGAAGACGACATATTAAAACAAAGCCACAGCCGAAGTAAACATCCAACCGACGGGGAGTGTAGGCTAACACACCAGCAACACACCGGGCAGTCCGCCTGACCAGCACACCGATTGTTAAGTGGTCACTACAGGCAGGGGAGGGGCCGGCGGTGGAGAGACGGGCTCAGGTTTCACAGTTAAGATTGCCTTGGTTGACCCAGATAAATGTTTATGGCTCACACTTCACGCGACCACTCGAGCTGACCGGCGCCTGACCAGCCCGGGGGGGGGGGGGGGGGTCGGCTAGCTGAACAAAAACAGTTACTTCATATTTATATTCAGGACTTTTACAACACCTGACATTCTTTTTTTTTCTCGAAGAACAATCTGCTCTACTTCAAAAATACCATCGCTCAAAATGTGTATGTCAGTAATTGTTCCATAGACTATTATTATAATACTCCCAACAATTGCTTCTTTAAACACATGGTCCCACTGAAGGTATAACTTTGTTATAATCTACATGTGCCAAAATATGTAAGCTACTCAAACAAATATAGGTTGTTTTTTTTTAAGTATATCGGGAAATTCCGTTGAAACAGACCAAAATAATGTTTCGGTAGAAAAACCCGTGTTTAATGCACATAGACTACAGTGTTGGGATATAGCACCACCGGTCATCTCGTTAAGAGTGTGGTGGTTTCGACAGCAGGGTCAGTTACAGAAAATGTCAGGTCACGGTGATCTGACCGTCTATCGACCGGACATGCCAACCTGGAAGTTAGACCGGAAAGAAAAGCCGGACATGTTGGTCTTGGTACTGTTGGGTTAGCTGTACGGTGCCGTAATAAAAAAAGTAAAGAATCCACTTTAGACCTAGCGATCCACTGGGCAGATGAAGTATAGAGTTCATGGTTCTTGACCTCGGCATATGAAGAGAAGGTGTAATTAGCACTTTGTCCAGCCGCCTTTAGGTTAGGTACCCATCAGAGCTGAGTGGACTCAGGGACGTTCTACTAACGTGGTGTCGTATTATATTAAATACTAATTTATCGATTAGGAAACTAACCCTAACCCACTAGAACAAAACTTGGTTGTTAGTTACGTTTGTTACTAGCAAGAGAAGACTATTCATTTGATGAGATGACTATCTAACAGTGGTTGGGAAAAAATCCACAAAAAAGCGTATACTTTTAAATAACAACAGACTCCTACCATAAATTGACCAAGGCTGGTATGTGTCAATTAATGACCGTGTCGAGCGTGTAAGATGACCCACGTGACCATTAACCCTCGGCCTGCCGTCGTTTATCGGCCGACAGAGATTTACAATCTCGGGAGTTTGGGTCGTGTCAAAAACTGAACGGGCAAACAAACGCCGACACGGGGTTAGCGCGCGGCGAGGGGGGGTAACAATACGTCACATCGTAGGGTGGGGAAGGGGCGGGCTGGGCAACGGGTGGTGGGGGGGGGATAGTGAGCGACACGGAGGAGGGGGGGGGAGGAGGAATGTAACGCTTTCATTCCACCATTAGACGGATGTGTTGAAACAAGAAATTATAATTAACGCGTAATGGGAGGGGATTGTTAACGAGGGCGAAAAGTGGGCGGGAGTATTGGGGGGAGGGGAGGGGGGGGAGGAGAAACAAAGGAATTCTGGTGAATGCTGGGACGACCTGACCTGAATACTTTTCAACAACGTTGTTGAATGGCCGGCGTTAAGGTCATTTGATCGTCAGACACGTTTCAAGATTGAATCATCAAATCGATTAGGTTACATTTTGTCCACCACCACCCCCACCCCTTTGTACCCAACGGTTAAGTTTTAATGTTTTAACATTCACCAAATGGTATTCGCGATACTTTATTACCCTACAC